CGACGTGTGTCGATTTGTGTCAAGTGTGTCGACTGTGTCTCCTAAAAGGAAAGCAGCCATATTTAGACCTTTGTTTTTCCTGTAGCCGCAAAATGCCTCCGTGCACTACTGCCCTCTGAAGAAGTTAACTACGTAACAATATTCATTTTTTGCAGTGCTCCTGATGAAAATAAATTGCTGAAATCGTTGAAATCTCAATTAATTTGGATAGATTTTAATTATTTTAACAATTTATTTCCATCAGGAGCACTGCAAAAAAAGTGGATGTCGTTGACATCCACTTCTTCAGAGGGCGGTAGTGCACAAGTATTTTGCGGTTACAGGAAAAAGGCCTTCGCGTGTCCTCTCTCAGGTTTCTCTCAGGTATCACCGACTGTCACCAGTCACCTAATGTCAACTAATGTTGATATTAGTATTAGTCGTATTAGTTTAAGGCCTTCACTCTACACCTTGTATATAAATCTTTTTTTCACGTATCTGTCATTTATACTGAATTTTTAGGTAAATATTTACTACTTATTTCATCTTACTAACGTTATCTGGTTGTATATATACATACTTTTTTAGGGTGCGTTCCGAATTACGCACAGGGCGCATGATGTATCATTTATCCTCGTTCACTGAATAAAACAGGATAAAATGATATCTTATGCATTTCACACGTAATTCGGAATGCACCCTTAAAAAGACTTTTGCAATTTTCTCATTTGCGAATATTGGAAGAGTACTTTTATATATATGCAATTTTTTCTGTTATAATCAAAAATTTAAATCGCGCCTTATAAAATACATCTGCATTCATAACTGTTTTGATATTTTTTCTGCAGCTGCGATTACCTTTTTGTAACAGAATGACATTATTAATTCGGAGTGATGCTATTTTGAAGTAATTATTGATATTGTTCATTGTGCACAAGAAATGTTGTGCTTATGGTATATTTATAGAGAAAATCAATATCTTTAATTTTTACGCATACATACACGTCCAATAGAGCTTGTAAGATTTCTTATGACACAAAGTATATTCTTTCTTTTTTAATACATATGTACGCACGATAATGATATAAAAATCATTTTTATTTTTTTTTAGTAACATACTGTGTCTTTAGAAAAAAAGAAAATGAGAAACGGCAGCAAATTGTTAAAAGTTCTTTTACAAGCGTCAGAGAAGGCAGCAAACATTGCTAGAATTTGCCGGCAAAAGGAAGCTCTTTTTCAATTGTTAGTACAAGAAAAATCCTTAGAAGAGAAAAACCCTCGTTTTTTCCAAGATTTCAAAACGTTAGCTGATGTTCTCATTCAAGAAACTATCAGACATGACATAGAAATTGAAGTGAGTATAAAAGTATCTTAAATATGGAAGTACAAAATGCTGGAAAAATATCTTAATATCACAACTTTTTTCCAATGTAAAACTTTTAATTTATTGTCATAAACAGTTTCCAGAGTTGGCCAAGATAGTACAAGGTGAAGAAACCAATGTATTCAGCAATATCTTGGGGGAATCTATTATTGTTGAGATCTGTTCATGTAGCAAAGATACAACACAACTACTGACAAAAGTAATGGGCAATGATGCTGTAGCAGCAGAGTTGCTTGCTGCCGAAGTCCATAAAGATGTTCAGCTTTCAGATGTGCCAATTACAGTAGACATTCCTATTGATTTTGATGTCAATATAGAAGACCTTGGTATTTGGATAGATCCAATTGGTAAGTATACAAGTAAGAATAGTAATTCTAGATTATTCAATTGGTATTTAGTAAATTTACACTAATTCAGGACAAGACTGAAAAAAATATAAAAGTTGGACAATATTATGGTAAAACATAAAGCTATGTCTTTTTAAGAATCATAATTGGCCTATAAACTGAGACACAATTTGTAAGAATTTTTGTTTGTTTTATAGTTTGATAAAATGCATACCTGTGGAGCAATTCGTGGAACTTTTGTAGATTCAACAGCAGATTACATAAATGCAAAGGAAACAGTAGATGAACAGACCGGTTTATATTTGAGTGGGTTACGTTGTGTCACTGTCTTAATTGGAGTCTACAAAAAAAGTACTGGAGTACCAGTTTTGGGTGTAGTTAATCAACCTTTTTGCACCAACATAGACTCACAGTAAGTACATAGAATAGAAACAATAACAAGATTTAGAAACAAGACAGTTTATTTATTAATATGTATGTATATATTTTTTAAATAAATTTATCTCAGAAATATGACTGTGCGCTGATTACTTTTGGATTTTCAGTACAATCAATCTGAAATTTTAATAATCCTGAATTTAATAAGAAATATCTAAAACCTGTAAAAAATTTATTGCCATGGTCAAGGATCGAAACTGGATTTCTAACATTCCGTGTGAGCGTTCTCACAGTTAGACTACCGAGACCTTCTTCACAGGTTTTAAGATGTTTCTTATTAAATTTAGAGGGGATTATTAATATTTCAGATTTATTGTGTTTAAAGTTCGAAAGTAACCGGCACGCAGTCATATTTCTGAAGTAAATCCATTTAAAGAGTATACATTGACCCAAAATAGCGCTTCTCGTATTTAGGCGATGTTAAAACGATAAACTTTCAATAAAATTTTCACAATGTATATAATTTTTTTATCTTTTCTCTTATTAACATCTTCATATATTTTAAAGTAAACAATATTAAGAATCTTTATTTTAGACCGCATACGTGAAGACACGATCAATACTAGAAATTTAAAATGCCTATTATGGTCGAAGCTGGATCTTTATTGCTTTAAAATAATTCAAACTTCAATTACTAATATATACTATATATATATTTGCATATATGCTATATTGTAGTCTTTTTGAACTGCGCGCCGAGTTGTTTTTCCGGACTATAAACATAATTAAAACTACTGTAGTAATCGCGAATTAAATTGACAAGCAATTTTAATAATTTGACAATACAATCAAGCATATATTATAAAGACGTTAATATGTTGAAAAACTATTAATAAATTTATTGCGAAAGTTACCTCTGCCGGAACTTGAACCTGGACCTCTTGTACAAGCGTCCTAAGCCATTAAATTACCGAGGCAACAATTCGGAGCAATTCGAAAAGACTACAATATGGTATATATGCAAGCACATATACAAGATGTATAAAAAGTCCCGGACCCCTTAAATATCTTGAAAAGTAATCATTTTTGAGAAAAATGTTT